TTCCACGTCCAACCACTTTGCCTTTAGCTCCTCCTCCATAGGTTACACGTCCTCCATTGAGTGTATGGTAGTTTGATAGAAATTCTTTTGTTCCATTCATGTGCCTAGAGCATCCACTATCAAAGTACCATGTAGCATTTAAAGAAGTGTATACTGCTTTGCACAAAAGTTTACCTTTGGGAGTCCATATTCTACACTCTTTATTGGTAAATTCTACCTTTTTTCTTTGAGGTGTTCCCTGGAGTGTTGTGACTCATTTTGTACAACATTTTGTCACTACTGAGTTTTTCACAAAATGGACGAATATGTCCTGGTGAGAAATAGTAATGACAAATGTATCCCCTTATTCTGGACTCTTGAGTGGAGACTGTGGAATTTCTGCATTCTTTTCCATTTGAACCCTTTTCCTTGACAAAGACAATTTCTTTCTTCTTTACTCGCTTGTGTTTCTTCACTTGTTTCTTGAACCCTAGACCTTCTTTTTTGTTGTACTTTTCCAATGACACAATCTCTTCGAGTTTAGTTGTGCCGGTATTCATCGTCTTGATTGCTAGAGTTGCTTCTTTGAGTTCATCTTTCACCTTTGCCAGTTCAAGATCCTTCTTGGTGATACCAACCTCCAAATGCGTGATTGTTTCTTTAAGAGAAAAATTTTCCTTGTTGGCTGCATCTAGAGCTTGAGTCTTGTTCATCAAGTCGTTGAACAGCTTCTTACACATTTCTTCCTCATTTCTACTGGATTCTGCTGCATTCAAAGAAATAGAGTTCAAACATGTATAATGATTAGCATCTAACTCAGAAATTTCAGTTACTGAAAGTGTTTCAGAAAGTGTTGCAGCATCTAGAGAAACTCCTTGTGATTCTGTTTCAGAAGAATTTTCAGTGATATATCTGGCAGAAAGAGCTTGTTTAGTGGATTGCTGCTCCTCTGTCTGTTCAGGTTGTTCTTCCTCCTCATCACTGACAGCACAAATCAAACTCATTCCTCTTCTTCTCAAGGTGTTTGCACATTCATTAGCATAATGTCCAAATCCTGAACAGGCCCTGCATTTGATATGATCTAAGTTAGGTGGTTCACAATTTGAACGAATAAATGAGGAATTTTTTAAAGTGCTTTGAGAAGATGTTTGAGGAAATGTTCTCTGTGAAATAGATCTGTTCCGGGGCCGAGTTTGTCGATTTTGTGGAGAGCCATCTGGAAATAACTGTCTGGGCTTGATTCCACTTCGTCTGTATGCTCTATTGAATTTCTGAATCTGAAATGCCACATTGTTGAGACATTCCTCTACATCATCATCATATTCCGGAGCAACATCTTCCTTCTCTAATTCTGCCTGGAGTGCATTTGAGATAGCCTTTCCTTTCTCCTTTCTTTGATCTTCAAAGTTCATCTCTCTAGACTTTAGACTACCAATTAAGTCGTCCAACCGTAGAGATGATGTGTCTTTGGCCTTCTCAATAGCAGTAACCGTCATGCTGAATCTTTCTGGAAGAGTTCTCAATACCTTATTCACCAGTGTCTCGTTGCTCAAAGGACCACCTAAGGATTGACATTCATTAGCTAAATCAATCAATTTCTCATTGTACTGAGAAATTGTTTCAGTTTCTTCCATTCTCAGTCTCTCAAATTTGGAAGAGAGTAATCTGAGCTTAGTTCTTCTGACACTGTCTGATCCTTCACAATGTAGCTGAAGAACTTCCCAAGCATCCTTCGCAGAAGTGCACACTGAGATCAATTTAAACATTGTTAAATCTACTGAATTAAAAATTGCATTTAACGCCTTTGAGTTTTGGTTAGCATTTGATAGATCGTCTGGTGTCCACCGTAATTCTGGTGTTGGAAACACATCCCCATCCGAATCTGTTATAAATGGTGGCTTCCATCCAGTAAGGATAGATCTCCAGGCTCTCTCATCAATGGCTTTGATGTATGCCCTCATCTTGACTTTCCAGTAGGTGTAGTTTGTGCCATCAAGTACAGGAGGTCGCATAGAAGCAGTCATCTGAGTATCCATCACGAATTCGTTTCTGTAAAAGAAATAGGAACAAACACTTAGTATACGTCAAGTGTTGGCTCTTGATGCCAATTGAAAGAATTTATGGTCCCGAATTCGTTTAATACAGAGATGTTATCTTAAGTGTTGTGACGCTTGAGAAAACATGCAGCGGAAATATAAAGAACTAAAGACAATACTCAGATCTAAAAATTGTTCACAAGTAAAAACTTGTGAACTTGCCCTTTACAGGACGGAAAAATTATATTAAAACAGTATTCCAAGAATACAAACAGAAGATGTACGAAAACTTCTTCCTTATGAATGAATCATTCTTATGATCATTCTTACATTCAAATCTAGAAACAAAAAGAGAAATATTAAAAATTCTAGATTTCAAATAATGTACTCGTAAGGAGTACGTACAGAACTTATGAATGAATCACTATCTTGATCATTCTTACAACCAAGTCTAGAAAGATAAAAACTATATACCAAACAATCTAGACTACAAAGAATGTACTCATGAGGAGTACGTAAAGATTGTACTCATGAGGAGTACAACCAACCGATTCTAAAAACACACTAAAACACTCATGTATTCTTTTCAGCTCTCGGTATTTTCATTTCGTAGAATCGATGAAATTCCTTGAGTCTTGAAGTCGGTATTTATAGACATTCCAAGCATCCACTCCTCAGCCCATGATCTGCAAGAAAACCAACTATAAGAGCACTCAAGAACATGGGTTAGTGGGTTAGTTTAGTAGTTAGAATAATATCCACAATTTAACCCACTAAACACTACTAAGTCCACTAAGTAATATACTTAGCCCACTGATACGCGTTTTCCTCACGTATAAATTACCGTAAGTATACGGTATCGCATTTTGCAGAACAGTGGTTCCGGATATCGATCCACAGGGACCTTGTAGATTCAAATGCTGAGTAGTGTAATTATATTATCGTTATATTATCTAGCCGATCGTAAATAAGTGGATTGGTGAGAAACCCTAATTTAAAAGCATGCAAGAACGTAAACATGCAAATATAAAATGTACGTAAAATAATGTAACGACAACTCAACGCGGGGGACTTCGATTTAAAGGGGACTTCTAGGGCCAAATCCACCTAGGTATAATCAACAACGATCGACAAATCCACCATCTAAAATCACGTTCCCATTCGTTAACCCAGACGCTAATATACTCTAACCCCCGTCTCCAGTGTAGCTAGAGTCTACCCACAGGTCCGACGTCTCCGTTCAGAACCTGCTATTAAGAGAGCATTTAGGTCAAGTCCTTAAGGGCTACCCGAAGTGCATCACGTCTCCGTTTCCACACCCCGGGCTATGTTTTCCTAACTTCAAACAAGAAATCCTCTCTCGAGTTCATTCCTATTTAATATCAGTCTGAGAGCTGATCAACACAATCAGAAGCATTTAATACAGGAAAACATAAACGAAATCAAAACACGACAAATAGAAAGTAGAAATGACGATCGAAATCAATATATACAAGGCTTCATTACCCTAGAAGAAAATGTTCTTAGTTCATAACAAACATAGTATCAAAAGAATGTACAAAGGAAATGAAGAACAAAACGTAAAGAAATTGCGTAAGAAAAACCCAAGTCGGAACCCTCGTTGATGATTCCCGCGAAGAACCGTCGAAAACCGTAAAAAGTCGAAGAAGCAATGAAGAGTGAGGGCTTGCTTCTATTTATAGTAAATTGCAAAGCTTCCTCAAGAAGCTTTGCAATTTAAAATATCTGCCCTTGAAAAACGTGCCAGATCGCGATCCAATAAAGCCAGATCGCGATCTGGCTTCTCTTAAAAAAAACGCGAACCGCCTCCCAGATCGCGATCCAGGAAGTGCGGATCGCGATCTGGGTCTGAATCTTGTCTGCCACTGGAATTTGTCACCAGATCGCGATCCGACTTTCCTGGATCGCGATCTGGGTCTGAACTTTGCACACTACTGGAATTTGCCCCCAGATCGCGATCCGGCTTTCCTGGATCGCGATCTGGGTCTTAATGACCACTTTCTCGGCTTGAAAAATCGGTTTCGCTTCCAAATGGCTTCGACTTGGCAACAAAAGCTAACAAAACCTAAAAAAGGAAATAAACCAAGAAATGCAATAATATAAACAAATAAAGCCGAAACTCGGACGAACGAAGACCAAAACTCGAAGATTTGATAAGCAAAAATCGTGCAAAACGAACACTTATCACACCCTCAAACTTAGATCTTTACTCGTCCCGAGTAAATCAAAACGAAACTACAACGAAAATGAAATAAAAACAACAAACTAAACTAGGCCACTAACGTAGGGAAACACGATTGCATTTAGCGTATGCAACAAGCCGTTGAACCCCTGGGTACCCCCAAAGGACGAGTTGAGTCTCGTGAGGGTTTTCAGACAACACACCCACAAAGTTGCCGGATTGGTCAAAGCATTGCAATTAATTCCTAAGATAAAATGAGCTAGATAACCTAAAATCTCAGAATGGCCAACGACTTTAAGGTATTCGACTTTCCTGCCGACGCAATTAGTTGTTTCTACACCAAAATGAAAGATAGACTCAAGAATCCGTAATTAAACAATAAACACAATCATCGAGGGTTTTGAGTAGAAATGTGGGTGAAAAGTAAGTTTTGATTCTGAAATTCGAGAACTCGAGTTGGGCATAAGTAGGTCTTTTTATTCGATAAGAAATGACAACAACGATACATTGTGATTTTCATTCTCACAACTTTCTTTTTCTTCTTTTTTTTTTTTTTTTTTTTTTTTTTTTTTTTTTTTTTTAACATATCGAATAAAAACGTAAAGACCATTGATAGAACTTCTAGCCAACAACTCGAAATCGTGAACACATAATTCAATTCTAACCTGCCCCCCAAACCTCAGGCTATTATACCCCTCAGAAAAATGCGCTCAAGCTTAATCGGAAAGGATTCGAAAGGCTATCCACACAAGTTGCAAAAACGCAGTCGGAAGGTTCATCTATAATTAGCCGGTGATCCATAATTTCAATTTTAAAATCAACTAGCCCATCTACTAATTCATTAATTGCTTTGCTTCAAAAGAACCCGGAAATGCAAATTACACTCGATCCTACATGAAATGCATGTGACAAACACAATAACGGAAATCAAAATACATAAACGAAACTAAATTATATGATATGCATGCAAAAGACCAAATCAAAATAAGATAAATAAAATAAAAAATAAAAACAAAGTCTAGCAAAGATACATCGTAAACGAAATATCAATCCAACGACTTTTCCCACAAACAACAAACAAAAACAAGCAAGTTCAACACACACCACCCTCAAACTTAAATTCTAGCATAGTCCCTATGCTCAAAAGCAGAATAAAAAATAAAAGGGAAAGAAAACACAACGCCCCCTAGTTGTCGTGATCGTCCTCGTGGGCTCCTCCCTCCTCTTCCGGTCGTCCCCGCTCGTACTCCTCCCAGGCCTGTGCCACCAGTGTAGTGGCTGCCGCTTGTGCTTGTTCGTCGGCGGCGGAGGTTGATGCTCCATCATATCGAGGCCGTGGTGGGAACGGCCGTGGCTCGACAATGTCATCGGTCCTGCACTGAAGCGCTGCAGCCATGGCCTTCATCATTTTCTTGAACCATCCCACATTTTCCTCCATAACATCCATCCATTGGCCGACATACTCCGGGAGCTGTGGTTCTGCTTCTTGTCTGCCTCTTCTGGCCCTTGGTTGTGGTCGAGCCGCATGAACACCTGAGGGACCCGCATCTGGTAAGTCCGAGTCGCCCTCGCCTAGGGGTCCACTCGCTGGCTGGAGCTTGTGGTAAGGGAAGATCGGCTGTGGTGACCTGATGAGCCGGTCATCAGCGTATGTGGGGACCCCTGCACGATCACACAGTGTAGTGATGAGGGAAGGGAACATCAGACCTAGAGAGGTATCACCTAAGCATCGTCGGATCTCAGAGTGTATGATTGCGCCCACGTTCACAGGTGTCCTCTTCATTATGGCATACATCAGTGTAAGACGTGGGGCATAGGTCTTGGCCGTCGATTTTGTGGGCATTAGCCTGCTACTGACGAAGTACATCCAAACCTTCGCTTCTCTTGAAAGTTCTCCCCGACGAAACCAGTGCTCTCCTTTTTCCCACTTCGAACCCCTAGGGCAAAGAGTCTGAATCAGCTCCTCATAGGTCGTTGCCATCTTCAGTTGTTGAAACGGCTCGGTCGGGACTTCGGGTAGGTGGAAAAACTTGTTGATTGTAGCAGCGTCATAGCGCACCTCTTTGTCTCGAAGAACGACCACGGACCCCGGGTGAAAACCGGCATTGGCATAGAAGAGCCTCACTAGATTCTCGTTGTAGTCCTCCGGTCGTTTGGCCAAGTACTTCCATTGTCGACGATCAAAGTTTTCGAAGATCGAATCTTTTGGCATGCCATCGAGATCTAATTCCCTTTCTGGAACAAACGGTCGGCTGTGGCGACGTATGAATTCCCTTTTTGCCTCGACGTTCACGTACAAAAGCTCATCTCCCGGTTCGAGGACTACACGGTCAAGGATGGTGTGTTGATTAGCACGGGATCCCATCTCAAGTTGCACGTTTCCCGTGCGTGGGGTTTGTTGCTCTTCCGGCACCTGAGATGGTGGTGGTGCGTTCGAAGTGCCTTCTTGGCTTCCCGTGCCTCGAGAAGCTCCCTTTTTCTTCGGTGCGGCTTTTCCCTTTGCCGGTGCCTTCTCCTTGGGTTGGGCTTTTTTGGTGGTTTCGCCCGTTTTTAAGACTTTCTTGGCCGGCGATGTCATGTCGTTCGAATTTGTGCGAGATGGAGGGTCGAAAGCCTTTGGAAGTTGGTTCGGGAATTTTGTCGAACACTTGGCGTGCCCAACTTGGTAATCCTTTTGATTTCCACCGGTTGTTTGGTACCTATCCCTCCTACATCAATCACAACACCCTAGTGAGAATCCACCACCACAATCAACAATAGGTAGCTAAACAATCAACCCAAGCCATTCAAATCTTTATTTTATCCTTTAGTTCGAAATTAAAAACAATAGGGCAATTCCTATATCTAAACATTGGTTCACCCGCAAATTCATGTTTTAAATCCCAACACCAAGTACAAATTCACGTACAAGCATACACAATTAACAAACAAGGGGAAAAATCATGAAATTTTGGGGAAATTCGAAAGAATTGAAGAAAATAAAAGAAATGAGGATTAGATTGAAAATTTACCTTTTCTTGAAGATTCACCCACAAATTCTTGGAATAAATGTGCAAATCGTGAATTTGTGATGATCAAGTGTGTGATTGATGTGCTTTTTATGAAAGAAATTGAAGATTTTGAAGTTGGGGAGGGGTTAGGGTTTGGAATTTAGAAAAGGGGGAATAAGGAAATGAAAGGGGAGGGCTGACTTTTGAACTGTATTTCGTCCCCAGATCGCGATCCACAATACCCGGATCGCGATCTGGGTCTCACCTTGCAGCTTCTGGAAAAAGGCCCCAGATCGCGATCCGACTTACCTGGATCGCGATCTGGCCCTTAAAATTTCAGCTTCTGGAAAAACGTCCCAGATCGCGATCCGACATACCTGGATCGCGATCTGGGCCCAAAACTGGCTGCCACTGGAAAAACACCCCAGATCGCGATCCGACATACCTGGATCGCGATCCGGGACACCTAAAATCTGCCAAAATGAAAATTTAAAAGGGGGTGAGATAGAGATGTTGAACCCTAAAATAAAAAAAATGCACGAAAAAGCTAAAAAAGATAAAAACGAAAACAAGAAAAAAGGGAAATGACAGAATATGAGCAACAATGGGTTGCCTCCCATTTAGCGCCTGTTTTACAGTCGACGGCTCGACTTCTTTTGGATTTATTGGGAGAAAATTAGTGCGACACGCTCCACTTCCTCGGGAGCACCATTCGGGTAGTAATGCTTAACTCGTTGCCCATTCACTTTGAACGACGGGCCGTCTCGTCCTCGTATTTCGATTACTCCTTGTTGGGTGGCGCTCAGGACTACGAATGGTCCCGACCAACGGGACTTGAGCTTTCCCGGAAATAGTCGTAGCCGAGAATTGAATAGCAGGACTTGGTCACCTGCCCGGAACTCTCGCTTCGTAATTCTTTTGTCATGCCACTTTTTCGTCTTTTCTTTGTAAATCTTGGCATTTTCGTAAGCATCATTTCTGAACTCCTCCATTTCGTTGAGTTGAAGCAATCGACGATCGCCGGTAGCTGTTTGATCGAAATTGAGCTTTTTGACTGCCCAATAAGCTCGGTGCTCCAATTCCACTGGCAGGTGGCACGCTTTCCCATACACGAGTTTGTACGGAGACATCCCAATCGGTGTTTTGAATGCGGTTCGATAGGCCCAAAGTGCATCATCGAGCTTCAATGCCCAATCTTTTCGGTTCGTGCTCACGGTCTTCTCCAGAATCTGTTTGATTTCTCGGTTTGACAACTCAGCAAGGCCATTTGTCTGCGGATGATAGGCAAGCGCAATTTTGTGTCGGATTCCCAACTTGTTCGTGAGATTAGTGAGCAGTTTGTTGCAGAAGTGAGATCCTTCATCGCTAATGATCGCCCTGGGTGTCCCAAACCTTGAGAATATGTTCTTGTGGAAGAATTTGAGGACCGTACGAGCATCGTTGGCCGTGGTGGCAATCGCTTCGACCCATTTGGACACGTAGTCCACGGCAAGCAGAATGTATAACTTTCCGTTCGAAGAAGGGAATGGTCCCATGAAGTCTATGCCCCAAACATCGAAAAGCTCCACCTCTTGCATGTTGTTCAAAGGCATTTGGCTTTTGTTGGATAGGTTCCCTGTTCGTTGGCATCGATTACACCGTTTCACGAACTCGTAACTATCTCGGAAAAGGGTTGGCCAAAAGAAGCCTGACTGCAGAACCTTGGCGGCTGTGCGAGATTCCCCGTGATGCCCGCCACAAGGTGAAGAGTGGCAATGTGTGAGAATCTCACGTACTTCTGTTTCCGGAACACATCTTCGGATGACACGATCGGGGCCGGTTCTGAAAAGCAATGGCTCGTCCCAAAGATAGAAACGACTGTCGTGAAGGAATTTTTTCTTTTGATGATAAGAAAGATCGTCAGGAATGATTCCACTGGCCAAGAAGTTGGCCACATCAGCATACCACGGAGTGTGAGTACTAATGGCGAGCAGTTGCTCGTCTGGGAAGGATTCCTGAATATTTCCTTCGGCTGGAACTTCTTCTAGTATGAGTCTGGAAAGATGATCTGCTACCACATTCTCGCTCCCTTTTTTGTCTCTGATTTCCAAGTCGAACTCCTGGAGTAGGAGTACCCATCTGATGAGTCGGGGCTTGGCGTCCTTCTTTGCGAACAAGTATCGAATAGCTGCGTGGTCGGTGTAAATGATCACCTGAGACCCCAAAATATACGGTCTGAACTTGTCAACAGCATAAACGACTGCAAGCATTTCCTTTTCGGTCGTTGAATAGTTCTTCTGTGCCTGGTCAAGTGTACGACTCGAATAGTAGATGGCTTTGAAGATTTTGTCCCTCCTTTGTCCCAATACAGCACCTACAGCATAGTCGCTCGCATCGCACATGATCTCGAATGGTTCCTCCCAATTGGGAGTAATCATAATCGGTGATTGGGTTAGCTTCTCCTTGAGAAACGTGAAAGCCTGCAAACAAGCAGAATCAAAATCAAAGACGGCTTCCTTCTCAAGCAAATGACACAATGGTTTTACTATTTTCGAAAAATCTTTAATAAATCTACGGTAAAACCCAGCATGCCCCAAAAAACTTCTAACCCCCTTGACATCCTTCGGTGGAGGCAATTTTTCAATCGTTTCGATTTTTGCCCTGTCCACCTCAAGACCCTTTTTCGAGACCTTGTGACCTAGAACAATACCTTCACGAACCATGAAATGACATTTTTCCCAATTTAAAACAAGGTTCGTTTATGTACATCTTTTCAAAACAAGTTCTAGATTGTGCACACAATGATCGAAAGACGATCCAAACACAGAAAAATCATCCATAAACACCTCAAGAAATTCTTCTACCATATCATGAAAAATAGACATCATACATCGTTGAAAGGTAGCAGGTGCATTACACAACCCGAAAGGCATCCTACGAAATGCAAAAGTACCGTAGGGGCAAGTAAAAGTAGTTTTCTCTTGGTCTTCCGGGGCGATTGAAATTTGATTGTACCCCGAATAACCATCAAGAAAACAGTAATACTCGAAACCTCCTAGCCTGTCTAGCATTTGATCGATAAAGGGAAGGGGGAAATGGTCTTTTCTAGTGGCTGCATTCAATAATCGGTAATCGAAGCATACACGCCACCCAGTGACTGTTCTAGACGGAATAAGTTCATTTTTATCATTCACAATAACCGTCATCCCACCCCTTTTTGGCACAACCTGCACCGGACTGACCCACGGACTGTCAGAAATTGCATAAATCATACCAGCGCCTAACAGTTTTAAGACTTCTTTTTTGACTACCTCTTTCATTGACGGGTTTAACCGCCTCTGAGGTTGGACTCTCGGTTTATAGACGTCTTCCATTAGAATTTTGTGTTGAACAATAGACGGGCTAATTCCCTTAATATCCTCAATAGACCAACCTATAGCTGACCTATATTCTCTAAGGACCTTCAGCAGTGTGTTTGTTTCGGCCTCGCTCAAACTAGAAGAAATAATCACCGGATAAGTCTTGTCTGCTCCAAGAAAAGCATAACAAAGATAATCCGGTAGTTGCTTCAATTCCAGTACGGGGGCCGTTTTCACACTAACTGGTATCTCGGGGACGATTCCTACCTCGTCTACGCCCAAAGTCTCGGCACACTCAAGAAACAACACGCAATCAAGCACATCATTTTCAATAGGAGTTTCAGGGGAGGCAGAATGCAAATCAATAGAATTAA